TACCCCCTTCTGATTCATGGAATAGACTGTCCATCCTTTCCAATGAAAATGAACAAACTTTCCTCAGGTAAAAAGTACCTCTGTATTAAGCTGTCACCATCCTCCATAGTTCGCTAGCAAAACAGTAACATTTCCACTTGTCCAAAGAAAAACGTAACTTTATGTAATTCATTGGTCTATTTCACTGTTAAGCATCTCTGACCCTGGATATTGTTCATATATCATGCATTTTGCATCAAGTATGTTTGCTGATGCACAGACTGACACAGAATATATACAGCTGTATCAGACACAGTCCCTCTAAAATGAACCATGCCAAAGAGACTAATGTCAGCCACTTTCTCCCAAGCATTCTGTAATACAAGCTAACTCCTCCAACCAGATAACCTCCCTGGAACCTGTAGCTCTGTTTAGTTTCAGGTGCTGTGCAGCTGCCCACATCTTACTTTATCACTTCTTCATTTAATTTCACTGCCACTGCCAGTCACTTAGGATACTTATTTTCTGCTTTGACAGCCCAAAAAGGAATTTCAAGTTATGCACAGAAAGAGTTTTGAGTAGCACTGCTTTTTAACCCAGTAAAATCTATGACTAATTAGGTCACAGGAAACCATTTCAACCAGTGAGCTGATACAAGGTGCCAGTCTCAGAAACTCACATGTCACTCAGGCATTGCTTTGTTCCACCAGCACCTCAGTAGAAGTGGGACCCTTAGGGTCCTGTAACCAGGAATGTGACAACAAATTATACTGCATACAGAAAGGGGTAGGTTCAGATGACACACAAAAATGAACCCACAGGATATGAAGGGAGTCCAGCCAGCCACCAGCTACTGGACCATCTAGAAGGCACATGCAGTGATGGTTTGAACTGTAGTGACACTCCTCATTCTATACTTTCGTCTGGAACAGATCTTTGATATACCATTTTCTTTCAGTTTTCCAAACAAATGGTTTTATAGCTTATGATTTCCCACAGAAGTGAAAGAAAAGCCTTGCTAGAGATGAAAGCTTCGATTTATCAATTTTACTCTTCATTTACCTATGCATCACTGACAATGATTTTCATTGCTTGCTTTCACAGGAGAGGTAACAAGAAACCTTGTAATCATTGCTCTACTCTGATATCACTGCACTGATATTAATGTACCACTGCTTAGTATGCATTGTCCCTTGGACCAACTTGAGCTGCCAAGTCAGTACATCCATGAAACCTCACTGGAAATTAAAGGAGCAGACATTTACAGCTATTTTCTTGTGATAAGAAAGTAAGAGGGACCCCAGGAGAGCATGTTGATGAATGAGGTGTTGGTCTTCCTTGTCATCCTGGTCCCCTTCATATATGTGATTAATAAATAAGGTACAAAGCTGTTTGAAAGTAGTTTACAGAGAAACAATAGATTAGGTAAGACCTCAAGTCCATTATCTTGTGTCTAGTAACTAGATGCTCAGAGGAAAGTGAAGGAATACTACTGTAGACAAGTTTGACTAAACTTATATTCTGTTAAAACCCTCCTTCTTATCCCAGGTAATTTATTTAACCTTGAAGCACAAGGTCAAGTAAGTCTTCCATGATTAATATTGCATTGCCCATATAATTTTCATTTTTAGGACTATAAAATTCTGCTATTTTTCCAGCATTTTTTGCTAGTCTACAACAGCTTAAAGTTTGGTGCAGATCGGAATGCACTCCTTATTCCTAATGTAACTCACCCATTATTTGAGATAAGACCCTGCATTCACAATGGAAGCCACTATCTCAGACTACTTGTATTCTTAAGTCACTTTTTGAATAGTGTGCTGTTTCATGAATGCATTATCACATATAGAACTGCTAGTTGACATATACTGTCTGTAAAGCAGACATTGCTGTCTGCTACAAATATGATGCAAATTATCAACATTCCTGACTTCTGGATAAAAAAATGAGGAATTAATCTGATGAATGTCAAGTTTGGTTCATCTCATGATGCTCTTGGTGACATGATCCATCATGAAAGATTAAACAGAGATATTCGTATGAATGAGATTCATTTTAGTCAGCGATCACAATGCAAATTCTTTCACTGAATAAATTTACTCCACCTGGGCTACAGCAGCTCTCTGGGATTGGATCTACTTGTTCTGGTCATGGTTGTATGACCTGTTTCTGATCATATCACAACCAGCTGTGTAGATACCACACAGAGCCAATGCTATACACCTCCCATTGACTACAGAAATAACTGCCTTTCAGCAAATCAAACACCAGGCTGCAGATATTAACCCTGCAAGTATCCAGCAGAAATGTTTTTTAATCTAAGGTGGGAGATGCTTATAAATAATTTACAAGGAGTTATGACTTTATATTATCTGAATAATATATCTGGGGGAAAGGACTAGAATCGGTGGTGTGGGCTATTCCCCTTTGAGATCTGTAATAAATTTCTTACATTATAAGCTGTGGTGAAAAATATTCTGGTTGTCACGCTTCATACACTGGAGGCATTCTAAGTGGTCTGCCACTGAGTCCCCATTGGATGATAACACTGTCCAGATTTCTCATCATTTCACACTTTCACTCCATAGCTGTGTGCTTGTTACAGCCTGCTGCTATAAAAATGAGTTTTAATGGAAAAGATCTGACAGAAACTTTATGCTTTCTTGACAAAATTTTTATTGGGCCGAATACCGGAGAATTACCGACGTAGCTTTGGACAGACACCTGTGAGCTGAGGAATTGCTTTGGGAGGAGGGTGGGGAGGAAGCTTTTATTACTGTCCTTATATCCCTGAAATGAAATGCCTTCAGAGCAGAGGAAGGATCTTGGATTCTGCTATCAGAGATTGGTATGATCCCTTGGGGCTTATCAACACACTCGCATTATCAGGAAGAAGCAAAATCACGTTTTTTTTTCCCCCAAAGCTAAACACACCCCCTGAAGTGTCATTCCTCTTTATCGCCATAATACATAAATACATCCTAGTCTTGTAGTCATCCTCAGCTGATGCCTGCAAATTCGGAAGTGGGCAGAGACTAAAGAGTCCTGAACACATGGACCTATTCCCTGCCCTCTTCCTGAATGTGGGATTCAGGCCCATTGCACCTCCATGCCATCAACAACCTGCAGTAGCTATACAGGGCTAAATCCCACACTGTAACTGTGCAAACTGAGGCCTAGCAGCACAAATTGTCCTAATTACTGACAGCCATGGTCACTCTCTCATATCTGACCTCTCCCCCTTAGCAGCATGTCCTTGTACACTTCTTTGTGCTGACAGGACTCTCTCAGAGCACCAAATAAGAGAAAAGACAAAAAGAGGGGAAAAAAAACAAAAGAAGAAAACCAAACTCACAAGCCATTTTTTCAGCAGTAGGGTCATGGCAGCAGTCAGTTAACTTGGTTCAGCTGCAGTGAAACCAGGAGCTGCCCTATGAAACCAGGAGAGTACAGAGATGATTACCAGAAGCCAAGCTGCTTGGTCAGCCCAGATTTGGTGCCTCTACATACTCTCTGTGACAGATAGTTCAGGAAGGAGCTGCGTGCCCCTATACATGATCTTGGCAGAACACAGTGTTTCCCATCACCATCATGCTTAGGGCACATGTGCAGAAGCTTCCTCCTTCTCCAAAACCTACTGCTCCAAACTCTTTGCTCAGGGCAGGTATCCAGGCCACCCTTCCTGTTCACTGCTGAGGAAAGAGCCATCACAGCCCAGCCTCATGCCATATAGCACTCTTCCACGAGGAGAAACCAGGACTGCTTTATGAACTGTGCCTTGCCATTCCTGCTGTCTTAGTAAGCAGCAATACCACAAAATAAGTAAATTTTATCACAGACAAACTTAGCAACAAACCTCAGGGAGTTAAACACATTAGTAATCATAGTCTGACCTTCAGAAGTTCTGAATAACTCCTGCAGACTTCTGAGAAGTAGGACATTTGTTTAGTTTCACCAGGAAAACGTTAATGTCGAAGTTTAACACTCAGATGCAGCCTAAAGATGTTAGGTCTGGATTTATGGAAGTATTTAAGGGCTTAAAGATGCAGATGCAGACAGTAGCAGAATTTTGAAAAATGCCTAAGTACCTAATATTATGAAAATCCTCCAAAAATCTGTCTAGCTAGATATCTGTATCTTGAAGCACCTAATGCTGAAATGACCAAGGTTTGCAGTCCCCCAGCACTCTCTTATAAATACCGCTGGAAGTCTGGCCTTAAGGAGCCAATGACTTTTAAAAAGACTTAGAGAGTTTGGCTCAAATACTGAGCAGGATTTACATGTCTATAGGACATGTAGATACATTCCTGTCTTAAATCTAGCCCTTGATATACATATTGCTGTTTCCCTGCCTTTTTATGGTTGTGCTTTTCTGTAGCTTATATTGTGTGGTATGAAAACACCAATGCTACTTTGCTGGCATCTGTAAGCTGAAAAAAAAGATAAACATTAAAAAGAGCCTTTTGATAAAGCCAGATCAACATTAATTGAAATTACATGCTTATCAAAAGTACTGCATAAATCAGTACTGTATAGAGGCCTCTTAGCTAAGTATATGTTGACCTAGTAGAAATCAGTATCTATTGAAAAAAGATTAATTAAAATCTGTAAGCAGAATTTACAACTGTGAGCTGTCCCTCAAGGGGCTCCTCAGTTGTATGAAAAGTGCAATGCACCAGGAAAAATATTTCAGAAACTTCAGCTAAGAAATAAAGAGCATGCAGCACCATCCCTTAATTCATAATACGACCTTTTGCCCTAAAGACTTCTAATGTATCTCCTAAGACGTGCAAAGACTCACACTGCTCGCACTCAACACGATTGACTCAGCTTTGCAGGGTAAGGATAACACACTCTCATTTGATTCACTTTGTGCAGTTCAAATGGCAAGAGGACAGTAATTTAGCCAAAAAATTACTTAGTGAATATTAACACAGCTTTCCCCCAAAAAACCACTCCACTAAAATCATTATTTCCCTCTTGTCTCATGAGCAATGACACAAACCTGTTTATCTCACTTGCCATACTGTGCTTTACAGCAACATAACATTGTTGGCAGTTATTAGAGGCACTTCTCTATCAGTGGTAAAGCTTGCTCATTCAGTACCTACAAGTAAATAGGGGTCTGTTATTGCATTAAAGGACATTAAAAAGGAAATTGTCAACTGCACACTGCCCACTGAAAGAGCTAGGCACTGAGTGTTTAAGGCTGGCTTTTCCTTCTCATAGTAGCACTAACAGCTATGACAAAAACACCATTTGCATTGTTTAGAATAAAACCCTGCTCACTGGAACAGCACTGGTAAAACAAAGAGATGCAACAGCATCTGATCATATCTGAAAGGCCTTTTCTCTGTATTAGTCTTGTTGCAGGTACTCAATGGATGTCAAGTCTCTTTGCTGTGAGTTAGTGGTGTGAGGTTTTATGGATACAAGCAGACCAGTCAGGCAGCAGCCACTTGCATACCTGTCACCAGGAGCCCAAAGTGGTGAAAGCCCAAGGCCCAGATTTACTTTCCTGACAGGCGGTGTCACAACAGTTGCTTCGTGGTGCCAGCATTCATATGTCACTGGCAGGTCTGTCTGGAAAACAAAAGCTCTATTTCATCACAAACACTCAGACACTGACATTTAGTTTCAGTTCCACGAAAAGGAGGATATCAAGAACTTTCCTGGAAAAATTCAGAGGCAGCATACAAGCTGAAAATGCTTTTCTAGAATGGCCAAAGCAGTTTCCTGGGATATGAAAGACAAAGAAGAAAAATACATAGGACTACAAATGCAGCTGAAAGCAGTCCTGCTGAATGCCCATAAGCTACTGAATCAGTCACTTTGTCCCCATTAGTGCTTAAGTATCCGCTGTGTCCATGAAGAGGAAACCCAGCAAGACAGACTGCAATAAAGTTTTAAAAAAAGAAACATTTAAGTTCCTGTTCCAAACTACAGTAAGAAGATCTTGATGCCTGGCAATTGTGGGCAAGAATGCAAACTAACTAGCTCTGCAGAAGGGCTTCCTTTCTCTTATTGACTCTGGCCAGAAATATCATTTTGAATCTGAAGTAAACCTAGTTTTGAAAAAATTCGGATTCAGGGTGTCATCAACCCCTTGGATTTGAGAGAGGATTTTCTCCTCTTATGAACACCAACTGGAACCATTAAGGAACATCACTGAATAGACTTAAAGGCAGTCAGGAAGAGAAACCAAGGCTAACAAAAGTCTCAGCAGCAATATAAAAAGCAAAAGAACAGCAATTCAAGGGAATTTATGTTTTCATTTATTATCATAGTACCTTTCTCTGCTCAGAGGGAGATTGAAAATAAATGACATGCTCAAGTGAAATCTTGAATGGCTCAGGTTTCTGTGTTGTGAATTTAAAATCACATCTGCTTTAAAGTACTCTGGGAGAACTAAAGCTTCAGATGAAATTCTGCTTTCGTTTTCTCGTGAATATGCTTTGGAGATCAGAGAAGACAGTTCTAGGATGATTTACTTTAAATCACTTGACTCACCCCTCCCCAATCAGCCTACAGCCAATCTACTGGCTGAGAATTTAGACCCATTAGAGAGTTCTATACTGTTAGGTTTAAGCTACAAAGCACCAAGCTGTACAACCTATGTCTTAATTCAGAGATGGATTAAAAAATGGGTAAAAGTTTGGAAGGAACTATATGGATTTAGACCAAGCATTCTAACCCAGGATACCATCCCTGACAATAGACAGTACTGGTGATAAGGAATGTAGAGGGGGCTATTCATCATGTTTAGGAGAGATTTCTCTTAATAATAGCCATGCACAATTTAAAAAATCTCCTCAGGCAGAGGTCACATGGGGACCGCACTGTTTTCTGGTCACATAATAACAACAAATTTCTCTAGTGCCAATTCCATAGTACCCTGAAGCAGCAAGCTGCATGCAGTTTAATTATACTTGGTGTAGAGAAAACCTTCTTTTTACTTGTCATTTCTCTCCCCAGCTAGAGAGTCAATCAAATTAGTCTCTTCTCAGGCCATTCACTGTACTATGGAGCCTTTTACCACCTGGTCAGTTGGGTTAATACCCTAATAGAGGTTATTTGTGCGTGTTTCACAGGTTAGAGCCAACCTTACCTGAATACCAGTCTCACTCTCACCGAGTGAAAGGGCTGAGTGATGTGGAGGGGTGACCTTGAGCTATGGGCCAGCTCTTTTGTGGCTGAGGAAGAAGTTTGAGACAGCAGGGCATGGTGTGAAGGGGAAAAAGATCTCACACTGATCTGCCATGGTACAGCTTCTGTATATTGTGGCCACACCATTGAAAATGTGATCTTTCTCCTCTACTGGTTGGGTGAGTCACTTATTACCCTGTTTATCCTTCAGAATAGCAACCCTTGCCCTTTCATGGCTCACAAATGCCCTGAAAGCCCCCCTGCTGTTGATCCAAGAGAGGGGAGTCACAAAAGCTGTCTAAGACACACTGAATTTGATGGCCCTCCAAGCCCTCTGCAAGAGCCATTTGCTGGGCAAGTTGACAGGTTTTCAGAGATAATGGCAATTAATGCAATGACAATTCATGTGTGTGTAATTGAGTCACCAGCTAACCAGTTTCATTTGCTGCTGCTGAACAACTACTTCCTAAAGTTGCTGAGTGTATTATGTTGTTTGAAGGTTTAGCACATGTCATCATGCCATGAACTCCTGGGTCACTGTTGTACTAGCAGAGGCACAGAACAGCAAACACAGGCTTACAAATTCAGTCTGTAAATGCTCCCAGGAGAAATTAGCCCATACTGAGCTCTGGACTACTGTGACATGACAGCTACTGAGATCCTAAAAGACACCATTTGGGGGATCTGTGCCCTTCTGTCACAAACTGCTATGTGTGAAAACCACAGGAAGGATTAACAATCCTGTAAGCACCAACCATTAGTAAACAAGGACTATACACTGCTTGGCTTGCGTCCAATAACCCTTGAAATCATGTTTAAAGGGATGGACATAAAAGAGACACTGTGTTCTTCAAGTCTCTGTAATTTCCAGGGGAAGTCTTGTCCCAGTACACATGAAGTCCCACAAAGCTTTTAACTTAAACTTCGCAGGTAACTTCAAACACTTCCTCTATGCGACCCTCTTGCGCCCTCCCCTTTCCCCCTACCCCCCTCTCCCTCCAAAAAAAACCCCTCTCCTTAAAATTTTATTTTCTTAACACATATGACTATTTTTTAAACACATCATAGTTTAAAATACACAGCACACCAGGGGATCTAAATAGATGCAGAGAGAACTAGTCAGGGCAGCCAGATGGGGAGGTGGGCTCACAGTAGGCTGGCAACACTCATGCACCACCCCAGAGGTACACAGATTTTACTGACTTAGGATGAAAGGTCTGGTCACTCTACCATGATGCACAGCCAGCTGTGACCATTCCCAGGATATAAGAATACAGACTGTGGGCAAAAAAAAAAAAAAGAATAAAACTTACCTATCCTCAGGACTGAAAACTGTTATTCTGAACCACTTTGTTAATGAACCCAGAACACCCATGAAGAGTCAATGGTCTTTTTATTCCTACTATTCACAGGAGGAAGAAGCAGAAAATAGAGGGTGACAGCATAAATTAACTTTCAACTACTCCACACTGCAGTAGAAGGTTGCTTTCCTCAATGTCCATTTAGGAAGGCACCCACATGACCAACTGAGCTTATTGCCTCACTGTGACCCTGAGGTGCTGTGGCTGATTTAACAGTAGCAAAGTAGGTGTTAAGTACCTCGGCCTTATCCTCATCTCTATTAACTATGTTTCCCTCCAAGGCCATCAAAGAACGGAGGTTTTCTTTGCCCCTCCTCCTGTTATTAATGCATTTATAGAAGGACATTTTGTTATCCCTAATAGAAGTGGCCAATTTAACTTCAAATTGCGCTTTTGCATCCCTGATTTTCTTTCTGCATGATCTAGCTGTCTTCCTGAATTCTTCGTAAGTAGCCAGCCCTTTCTTCCATAGTTGGTAAACTCTCTTTTTATCCCTGATTTCCTTCAGAATCTCCC